TATTTTTTGGTATATGTTTTGTATATGCGAATGTATATCCTTTTTACTACGAATGAGACAACATTGACTTTAATTCTTTTAAATCTAAATTATATTAAGGTATATTTTCCAGTTTTTTTTTTCGGTTAAACTTTCAGGTATTTTCGTTTTGTAATTATCCAGACTGTCCCCCATTATATGTGTTTTATATGTAACACACATATAAACTGAACAAATGAACAATTGAACATATGAATGTGTGAATATCTATGTTATAGTGTGACATATACTTATTTTATTAAAACATATGAATGTACTATATTTGAAGATATATATGTGATGAAAATATTGATTTTCCTGGTGTACGTAAAATATATATTTTTTTAGTTTGGTATATCAAAATCATATCTTTGGAATATGTACTATAAATGCGTATTATATACAAAGTTACAGATTATAAATCACACTTAATATCATTCACATTGCTGTTACAATTATGAAATAAAAAAAAAAAAAGAAATCATAACAATTAATGATGGCAAGCAACACTTAGCATAAAAAGGATTCATAATATACATGGCAGTGCTATGATTTTCATCGTATTGGATTACGACAAGTTTTCACATTGTGCCCTTTCTCATGACATTTGCTACATCTATTTTTTGATCTATGCTCCCACCCCGACCTGAATCGTTGTTTGCGTGGTCTCCCTGGCCTCACTCTCCCATCCGGGGGATTTACCAACTTCGGGATATCCGGTGCATTAAACTTGAAGGCTTGATCACCTTCTATTGGTATTACAGCTACCTCATAAGTTGCCAACATTGAAGTGGTTAGGTAGTAATCAGAACAGAATGGGACCGGATCTAGGTGGAGTGACTTGATCACACGTATAGCATGCGGGCACGGCAGTTCATCAACTTGAAAGTTGTGGCATGTGCAAGTCTTGGAATCAATGTCCACTATAAATGCCTTACCATTAGCCATCACCTTATACACCTTGTCACTGGCTTTCTGTACCTGTTACATATGGCAGTATATACATAGTTTTTTTAAGGTATATATCATGAA